CACACTTTAAAAGGGGAAATTAAGAAGCAACAATAAATTATTTATGAAAAAGGAAAATTACTTAAAATAGCTTATTGATAAAAACATCAAAATCTACAAAAAAAAGATCCAGGGTCAAATTTGAAGCATGACCCTTTTCCAAGATAAAACCCAAAAATTGCATTTTTTTCTGATTTTTTTATCTTTAATGTTATTCTATTAATTTATTTTCTCCTCTAAAACTTTTAGGTTAATTGTAACCAAACTTGGTGTGATTGTAACTGTTTCTGATGCTTGTCAAAAGGTGGGGTAACTAGCAAACACACTGATTTGCAATTAAGTCAGTGTGTATATCAGACTCCTGGGAACCTCTGGTCTTTCTCATCAAGCCTTTATTTTCACTAATATATTCTTTTTTATTCAATACCTCATATTTGTGATATTTCATATAATTAGTTTTTTCTTATTTTTCTTTATTTATGATATCTATGTGTTGATTTTGAGATATTCTTTGTTTCAATAAAACATTAAAATAACATGATACTCTTTTCAGAAGTGATTATTTATTGCATACTGGCTAATTACTTTATGCAGGTAGCATGTAACAATCTTTTCCCTAAATTGATTAAACCTTGTCGTAGTAAGTATTTGAATGTAAGTGAAGATATTTTTCCTTCCTATATCTAATACAGTGGCTAAAGGTCAACTACATATCTGATAAGTCAACTACCAAAACTAACAACGAAGGAAAGAACCAGGTTCAAGCATTGAGATTATTCTCAGTATCCATCGGTTTATGCTCAAAGTTGTACTGTAACTTTGCATCTCTGTCATTTGACCTCAACCTTGAAATTCTGGTTGACATTTTTTTTTAGGAATTTTCAATAAGTTTGATGGACTCCTCACTATCTCAAAGACTACAATTACAATTGAGGCGTGGTGTAGTGGTTAGCGCATCGGACTACTAACACAAAGGTTCCTGGTTCGATCCCCGTTCCGGGGAGAAAATTTCAGGGACTGAATTTTCGGCTCTCCCTCGACACCATTTGCGAGTATTGTCTTGAGATTTTTATCGTCCCCATCCGACGGACTAACGATGCTAGTCCGTTGGATGGGGACGATAAATGGCTGACCCGTGTGAGAGAGAGCAATATCTCTTGCACGTAAAAGACACCCTTGTAGATTTCGAAAAAGAGTAGGCTAATGCTGCTACAAGGACAGCACTTGCACCCGCAAAGTGGAGAGGGATTTATATAATTTGTAATAACTTGTTTCCCAATCCACTATAAATAAATGATTAAACTAAACTGCAATTACAAACCCTAGATTTTTAATACTGGGTACACTTGTGCACCACTACTTTTAGTAGTACATTTTCCTCTCCTTCTTATGACCTTGAATTTCCAATTAAGTGACTTTGACAATCTCTATAGTTATGTGTTGAAGTTTGATAAGAATATTGATATTTACTTTTCTTAAAGTTCCTCTAAATAAGGGAAGACATTTAGTTTATGTTTAAAACTATTAAATTGAACATTATGTTTGCATTGCTTTGTCAGATTGTTGATATCTGATGGTTTCAACAGGTGTGATGTGAGATACTTTAGTTTCCAGATGATAGTGTAAATGTAAAACAGGCACTAGTAAATATATATGCAATGCTTACCTGCTACTTCTTTTAGGTATTTTACAAATTTCTTGTAAGTTCTCAATTACCTGATTTGTCTGTTTGAACCTTCTGGTGCAAAGGCAGGTTTAAACAAAGTTGTAATCATTTTCAGGTTGAATGGTCTGGACCCTGGCGTAAAAAGATGGACAAAGGATGGCAACTCCTTCACCAACTGAAATAAATGCCTCTATTTATATATGTACTGTATTTTAATTAAGCTGTCACATTATCTTGTGACTTGTTCTTAAATTAGGATTTACATCATTGTATGTTGAGAGAGTTTCATATAAATAATTCCAATGTTGCATGTTATTTTAAATTTCATTGGTTAAAGACATCTTAAAAATAAATCCTCTGATCAATATGAAATAATCCAACATTATTTTATTTTTAAAATGATGTTCGACAAAACTGTTCAGAAAGTTTGATGGAACTATAGGAAATAAAGATCATGCCGTGCAAAGTATACCCCCACTCATTCCTGTCTTGTTTAGACATAAATTTATGAAGTAAGAGTTGGGTATGGGAAATCAAAGTAAATACCAATTCGACATTTAGAAAATTTCAAAGTCTCTGCAAACAGAAGGTGGCTTGGGGGACAGATCTGAAAATCGCTGACACGGTTCAAGTCACCAATAACAAGCTATAGACCAAATCACAAATCATTCCTTTAATTAACAGCTGAGAAATCCTTGACGAAAATTTTTCAAAAGTTTTGACATTTTGAAAATTTCAAAGTTTCTGCAAACAGGAAGTGGCTAAGTAACAGATATGAAAATCGCTTACATGGTACAACTCACCAATAACAAGCTTCAGACCAAATATCAAATCATTCCTTTTCTTAACAGCTGAGAAATCTTTGACGAACATTTTAATTGGATGACGGACTAACGAGGTGATTGCACCATTCTGACGAGTGGGGGTATAATCTTATGGATGTGTAAATTTGGGTAGTTACTCACAAACTTTACATAGAGTCATTTAAACTAAAGGTGGCTTAAGAGAATTATTCCACAATTTGTTTGTAAAATAATGATTCATTAAGGTTACATATGTTTAGAAAATTAGCAAAATAATTATTTAATTCAAAGAAAGCACCAAATTATTTAAAACTCATAGTTCTTTATTCCATCTGCAATATTTTAATTAAAAATGAAACAATAAAAAGCAAAAGATGTGAGTCTTGTCCTTATTTTAAAGGACAACAGGATTTATGCAAGGGGGGTAATTTGATAAAATATCTTGTGTAGATCTCACAAGAGAACAGTGTTTGCCAAATACCATCAGTCAAAATAAGGCCATGGTCCGACATACATCACTGATCTACCTGTCAAAATGTCCGGTAAACAAAAATCTTCTTCTCAAGATACCGCTTAGTCAAAACCATTTAAAATAAGGTATCAAACTGCAATTATGACAATCATCTGGTCGATTTGTTAATGATTGTATTTTCTGTCAAAAATCTTCTGCGAAATGACGCCTTCAATAGCTGTGGCTTAATCAGTCATCATACAGAAAACTATTTTATAATTTATACTTTGTACTGGATTTCGGTTAACAGTAGGACAACCGGAAGCGTCTGAGTAAGGATTTCGGTGCTCAGTGATACGGTTCACTAGACGACGTTGTCAACACGTAATGGCGGCCATTGTTTGACGTTGGATTTGGCATTCCACGTTGTAAAGTTGCATTTATCACATTCTTGGATGCTCAAACTTTATGCCACACAACATAAAAGGTAAACGCTTATTTCAGATATTCAGTTAGTAATTTTCAAATAAGTGTGATCCCAGGAAATGATTCAAAAGGCAAAAATAAAGTGTAAAATGATATGAAACATAATAATTGAAATCCCATTTTTCATCATTTGACAATTCCTATTCATATATTGAATCCACTATTTACACCAACCACTGATGAATTACATTCGGATTTCGGTCTTTATGTATCCGCCCTTGTCTCCGGAAATATTATACCCAAACAAGTTGTCAACATCCGTTTTCAAACTGTTCAAAGTGAAACTCAAATTAAAGTGTTTTTCACAATGTCCGTGGAAAATATTGACGCCATCACTTCATGCTCAGATAATAGAACATTGTAAACCTTTAACAGCAAATACGGAACAAAATGAATCAAATTTGAATGAAAGAACGATACTATACATGAAATTTGCTGAACGTCTCAGGTTCAAATCAAAAGTCCATGTACCAAATTATTAGCATGTGAGACACATTCACTTTAACTCTTGGCTACTTTATACCTGGTATAATAAAAATATATTCGTCCCATTTCATACATGAGGGGGCGGACGGGGGTACCCTTCTCCTACCTTCCACTTTTAGAATCTTTTTTTCTCTCCCACCTGCCGCCCCCACCTCCCTTAAAAGCTGTCCACCACCTCATACATGAACACCAAAATTTAATATTTATAAAATCTTCCATGAACATAAAATACAATCCTGATCCTGATCAAGTTCCTAAGATCAATATATAGTTTGACACAACTGGTCTCTTTGTGCTAGCTTGTTTCAGCTAGGTACTGTAGTTTCTCTGAGTGACACATTGTATACTTAGCTTTTTTTTACAAAGGAAAAGCTATCCAGTCTTCACGCTTAACCACAAGTCCTAAGGCATTGGCTTGTAAAATTTATTTCGGGCTTGTAAAATTCTTCTACAAGCCAACAGAACAGGGCTTCCAAAATTATTTTTAGCCAGCCGGACATTTTATATATTATCCCGATTTTAATCCCTTAAGACTAAATAAACAAAAGGCAATTATGGTATTCAGTTGCTGAGTTGGCCATCCCAATGATTGACATTGGAAAGCTACATGTACAATGTATCTCATAAATCTAACAAATTTAAAATGCCTGTTGTTTGTACAATTTCTTTATATCTGACATGTTATATTCTTCCAATAATTATATATACAATCAAGTTTTAATTATTAGAAATGAAAATCCATTGACAATATTACTTTCTCAAACTTCATTTATATTATCAAATTCAAGTTGTCAATACGGTCTCGACAGTGGTGGTTCCAGGATTTAAAAAAAACTGGGTTGTGAGTGACCCCAAAATGTATAAAATTTCAGTATGCATTGTACGATGGACATGTTATGATGTTTATCTCCAATATTAAATATAAAAATATTATCAAAAGGTTTGGCATTACATGAATTTGCTCCACTGTTAAACCTAAAAATTATTTTTTAATACTTTGAAATGTTTACTTTGCCTGTAACTTTTATGTATGGAGCAAAAATGCTGGGGGCATAATTATTTATAATACTTAATAAATATATGTATTTTCTTGGTAATTTATTTGGCAAATTTGTATTCATGTGTTGATGATAACAATGCAAAGTTTAATTTTGCTTTGAATAATTTAGTTTTATACATTTAGTAATTGTATGTACATTTGCTTTATATTTTCAGGATGGAGAAAGATGTTCACTGTGGATCAAAAATTCAAAACAGAGGACTTTTATATACAAACAAAAATACTTGTACAACAGTAATCAAATGGAATGTCTATGTGATTGCAACCACACATTTTAATGGAGTGATGTTGAAAGCAAAGTTATTTTTGTTAATAGAAAACAATAGGACTACAATATACTACTAATTAGGGGTGAGTAATCCAAAAGTGTCTGTTTAGGGTAATTACAAAAGCAGGTTATTTACAATGTGCTATGATTTCAATCCCCAAAATATGAAACAAAACATAATATACATGGTATTCAAACTATTTTCATAAGGAAACAGACTGAAAATATTCTGCATTTAACAGTCAGAAATGAAATATACAGATGCATACTATGAAATGTTGTCCTGATAAAGGGAGGTAATATTTGTTGTATTGAGACAATATTTCATAGACAGATTGTCATGAAATGTTGTCTCATGAAGGGGAGGTTATCAACATATATCATGTTGGATAATGATATCATTAAAGTGGTTTATTTGATTGAAAATAACAAATAAACACAAATTAAAAAATAGATACAGGTATTGATATATTAACAGAAAACTATTTTTGCTTATCATGGACTACAAAACACTTTTCTAATATCTCAATCATAAAGTTGTACCGGAAGGAATTTCTGAAAATCAGAATATACTACATTCATTGTACTAAATAAATCAGAAGAAAGGCTAATTCATTTTGTTTACAAAATAATGATATTTATTCCAAATGTTTTTGACAAGAAAACAAAAAATGTTACAAAAAAACCTTGTAATTCATGAAGATAAACTTGAATGAGTAACATGTACTGTACTTGCTTTACAAAATAATTTCAGTTACATAAATTTAAAAATGAGCATGCTGCATGCCTGTGTAATGTTTTTATACGAACGCAAAACATTTTTGCGGTCGTATATTGGTATGACGTTGGCGTCGTCATCGTCGTCCGAAGACACATTGGTTTTCGCACTATAAATTTAGTTTACGTGAATGGATCTCTATGAAATTTTACCATAAGGTTAATTACCACAAAAGGAAGGTTGGGATTGATTTTGGGGGTTATGGTACCAACAGTTAGGGAATTAGGGGCCAAAAATAAGCATTTTCTAGTTTCCAGACAATAACTTGTGGAACGGTGTATAGATCTCTCTGAAATTATACCATAAGTTTCCATACCACAAAGGGATGGTTAGGATTTGCTTTGGGGGGTTATGGCTCAAACCGTTTAGGAATTAGGGGCAAAAAAGGGGGGAAAACAAGGTTGTCCAGCTTAATGGACAAATACTTTAGTATAAAACATAATTTAAAGCAGTGTAAGGGAGATAAATCAAATACATCATTCGAATTACCTCCCTTACACTGCTTTTAAATTATGTATAAAGTAATGGTTAATGAACAATTAAGACAATTTAAAATAGTGTAAGGGAGGTAATCCAAATACAACGTTTTGATTACTTCCCTTACACTGCTTTTAAATTATGTTTAAAGAAATGCATATTTATAAAGGAAGACCAGTAAAAATATCTGCAAATGTTGCATCTTTTTTTTTTTACAAAAAAATCCATATGAAAGATTTGACACCATATTTTAAATTCTATTATAAAATAGATTAAGTTAGCACTATGGTAAATTTAAATGGGTAATTATGGTTGCAAATTCCATTGCCTTGGAAATTTGAATTGAGATTATGACCATATCTTGAGGGAAAGAAATCTCATTTCAGATTTCAGAAATTAAAAAGAATTATTCTTCAAATTTTTTTTTTTTTCAAATTTAAAATATTGAAAAATTTCAAGAAGTAATCTTTAATTGCACAGTATGTCGCATTAGATTTGTAAAATCTTTGACCACATTTATTTATTTGTTATGCCGAATCTGACCGTGTATTTAGATTTTTAATTTTGGGTCCAGTTTTCAAATTGGTCTACATTTAGGTCCAAAGGGTCCAAAATAAAACTTAGTTTGATTTTAACAAAAAATGAATATATGGGGTTCTTTGATATGCTGAATCTAAACATGTATTTAGATTTTTGATTTTGGGCCCAGTTTTCAAGTTGGTCCAAATTGGGGTCCAAAATTTAACTTTGTTTGATTTCAACAAAAATTGAATATATGGGGTTCTTTGATATGCTGAATCTAACCATGTATTTAGATTTTTTATTTGTGGGCCCTGCTATCAAATTGGTTCATATTGAGGTCAAAAGGGTCCAAAATTAAACTTTGTTTGATTTCATCAAAAATTGAATTATTGGGGTTCTTTGATATGCTGAATCTAACTGTGTATTTAGATTTTTAATTTTGGGTCCCGTTTTTTAAATTGGTCTACATTAAGGTCCAAAGGGTCCAAAATTAAACTTAGTTTGATTTTAACAAAAATTGAATTCTTGGGGTTCTTTGATATGCTGAATCTTAACATGTGTTTAGATTTTTGATTATGGGCCCAGTTTTCAAGTTGGTCCAAGTTGGGGTCAAAAATTAAACTTTGTTTGATTTCAACAAAAAATGAATATATGGGGTTCTTTGATATGCATAATCTAACCATGTATTTTGATTTTTGGACCCCGTTATCAAATTGGTCCACATTGAGGTCAAAAGGGTTCAAAATTAAACTTTGTTTGATTTCATCAAAAATGAATTCTTTGGATTCTTTGATATGCTGAATCTAACCATGTATTTAGATTTAGGATATTGGACCATAATAGGTAAATTAAAAAAAAAAAAAAGTTCTTAGACGACATTCATTCTGTGTCAGAAACCTATGCGGTGTCAAATATTTAATCACAATCCAAATTCAGAGCTGTATCAACCTTGAATGTTGTGTCCATACTTGCCCCAACTGTTTAGGGTTCAACCTCTGCGGTCATATCAAGCTGCGCCCAGCGGAGCATTTTATTAAATTTATTATAATTTGATTGAGAAATGTTTTCATGGACAGTATTTCATAGTAAACATATTGTCCTCCATGGAATATTGTCCGTCAGACAAAATTTTATATAAAATATTGTCCGCGGACATTTTTTTTTATAGGGAAATATTGTCATGGGCAGAATTTCATAGTGAAATATTGTCCAAATAGGGGTGACAAAAATCCATGAACAGGGACACTATTTCATCATGAAATATTGTCCTAGACAGTATTTCATTTTGAAATAGTGTCCACGGACAATATTTTATATGGAATTATGTCTGATGGACAATATTTTATGGGGGACAATATTTTATGTTACATATAGGTCAAGTAATCCTACACAGACTTTTAAGGCCAAATTGTATACTTTTGATAGTTTAAAGATTTTATTATATTATCTATGCTGTATAAATGTTAATATTGTTTCATTTGGATTTAAAACCTTATTTCAAGAATGAAGGGTACGGTAATTTAAAATTAATTTATATGATCAAAAAGAATATAAGGGAAGTAACTCTTACATGATGTGCATCATACAGTACTACCTGTGACATTATCTTATTGATGGTGGCCCTAAAAATAATGTTCACCATGATGGCCCTACATGTATATGTCCATCATTATACCCCCTGTTGCTTAATTAATACACAATGTATTAATCAAAAACTAGTCAAGGATAAAGGGAAATCATGATTGCATTGAAGTGTTAAAATTATATAAATTACAGGTAAAATGTCTCAGGTAAAATATATGTGTTTGTCAAATTTAGTTAATGTGATTATGAAATGAAAATTCAAAAATAAAATGAAATAATAAAACTAGTTGAACATATTGCTTGATAAAACAATATTGAAAAAAATTGTCATGACTGTTTGTTTTTGATGTTATACCTTTTAAATAATTCTATCAATGTAAGTAATTTTACATGTTTTTTTTTTGGCAAGTGAAGAATAAATGAATATCAGTCTATCATCTTTTGATATAATGCAAACATAGATCTGCCTTTTTCTATTGAAAAGGTGCTTCTTAGATTAATTTTCTAAAATCAAAATTGTTTATACTTAGAGAGACTGATCTGCATTCAAACATTGTTTAACAAATGTTTAAGATTATCTTTAGGACTTATTCTAAATAAAATTTAGGTAATTCATTATTTCTCTATTTAATAAATATGTTCAGAATAATCATTACAGCAAAATTTGATAATATTTTTGTCATATAAACATAGTATAATTAGTTTGTGACATAATAATACAAAACCGAACAATATAATGCGAAGAAATAACAATTCTATAAGAAATCAAAACACATGGAAAAAAATATTATGTTTCTGCCCTCAGTTCTAATGACTATTTGATAATGGAGCCAATATTTAAAAAAAATTTCCATGTTATAGAGGTTTAGCATTTCTTTTACTTTTTATACGAACGCAAAAAAATTTTGCGGTCGTATATTGGTATGACGTTGGTGTCGTCGTCGTCGTCTGGCATTGTCGTCCGAAGACACATTGGTTTTCGCACTCTAACTTTAGTTTAAGTGAATGGATCTCTATGAAATTTTACCATAAGGTTCAATACTACAAAAGGAAGGTTGGGATTGATTTTAGGGGTTATGGTACCAACAGTTAAGGAATTAGGGGCCAAAAAGGGGCCAACAATAAGCATTTTTGTAACTTCCAGACAATAACTTGTGTGTTAGTGTATGGATCTCTCTGACATTGTACCTCAAGGTTCCATATCACAAGGAGAATGCAGGGATTGATTTTGGGGGTAATTGCCTCAAAATTTTAGGAATAAGGGGGAAAAAAGGGGCAAAAAACAAGCATTTTTTTAGTTTCATGACAATAACTTGTGTGTAAGTGTATGGATCTTTCTGAAATTGTACTACAAGGTTCCATATCACAAAGGGAAAGCTGGAATTGAGTTTGCGGGTAATTGCCCAAAACGTTTAGGAATAAGGGGCCAAAAATAAGCATTTTTCTAGTTTCCAGACAATAACTTGTGTTCAAGTGTATGGATCTCTCTGAAATTGTACTGCAAGGTACCATACCACAAAGGGAAGGCTGGGATGAATTTTGGGGGCAATTGCCTCAAAGTTTTAGGAATTAGGGGCCAAAAAGGGGCAAAAAACAAGCATTTTTCTAGTTTCAGGACAATAACTTGTGTGAGTGTAATGATCTCTCTGAAATTGTACTGCATGGTTCCATATCACAAAGGGAAAGCTGGGTTTGAGTTTGGGGGTAATTGCCCTTAATGTTTAGGAGTTTGGGACCAAAAAGGGGGAAAAAAAAAGCATTTTTCTAGTTTCCAGCCAATAACTTGTGTTCAAGTGTATGGATCTCTCTGAAATTGTACTGCAAGGTACCATACCACAAAGGGAAGGCTGTGATTGAGTTTGGGGGTGAAGAATCATAAGGGGGTTCAAAAATATATGGGGTGGGGGGGGTTTCCATTTTAAGACTTTTATGATGTATTTGAATTAATAATTATGGTTGAAAACTCCATTGGAAATTTGAATTGATATTATGACCATATCTTGAGGGAAAGAATTTTTTTTGGGAAAAGGGGGGGAGGGGGTAAAAAAGAAGTTGTGGGGGCAATTTTTGTTTTTCATTTCAGATTTCAGAAATTAAAAAGTAAATTTCTTCAAATATTATTTCTTTTTGCAAAAAAGGGGGGGGGGCAAAACGCAGCAGCATAGTGTATTTCTCAAAAGCCAAAAAAAGGGGGGGTAAATTTTTTTGTTGGGGGGGCGGGGGCGTATCTAGCTGCGCTCAGCGAAGCATTTTATTTTAAGATAAGAGAATGACTTGAGCAGACCATATTGGGGTCATAGATGGCCATAACAATGAAATACAGTATATTATAATTAATTAAGGTCTTTCCTTTTTCAAAAGGGAAAGACCTCACTGTATTTCTTCTGTTTATTATTATTATTATTATTATTATTATTATTATTATTCTTTTTCCGCCAAACTTTGACGAAGTTAGCAGCCTTAACCGTAAGACGTGTCGCTTTCATGTTCACACTTTGTATCGGTGTCATGAATACCTATCCGGAACTCACCCTTTGAGTCGAAAAGTTTTGTTGGTTCGGAAAACCTTGTTATCGTTCCAACACCATAACCATAATAGGTAGAAAAAAAACAAATGGTGAAATTTGTTCAGGACCAGACCCCGGTTCTTCATTACATTTGGATCGAAAAGATTCAACGACTCATTGGTAGGGTTATGCCCCCTATGAAAATTAACCGCAGTCGGTTGGCCCCCAAAACTCAGAAACCGTAAGTCATAGACACCTAGGATCTTCAACATTCATCATCCATTGATGTGACTCTGAAAAATATCTCAAGGTCAAATTTGTAAGTTGACCTTGACCTTTGACCTAATACCTTGTTATGGGATAATCTCAGAAACCATTATACTTACAGAAGTTTTGAATAGTGGGAAATGTTTGGGTCATTAAGGCGCAACTTCGTTACATTTGACCGAAAAGATTTGACCTTTCTATCAGGGGCATAACCCCTAGTTTAGGTTTCTAAAAAGACAAAATCAGGTTTTACTGTTAAACCAAAGGTCCTAGACCCATGGGGTCTTCAGCAATGACTTTGGGGACTAATGACCTAGACAAAGGTCAAAAGGTCAAAGGTCAAGGTCATGTCCCACATGAACCAAAGGTCCTAGACTTATGGGGTCTTTTGTTATGACATTGTGGACCAATGACCTTGACAAAGGTCATAAGGTCAAAAGACAAGGTCATGTCCCAAATTCCGAATTATGTGTTTTTGACCATATTGTAAAGGTTTTGTGTGTGTTTTAGAGCTTTTCAATGCATTATACGCTTATTTAAACATATATTTTACATAATGAAAAGGAAAGACCTCTCAATTGTTCAAGAACAATTGACATTTTAATTATCATTCTTCATTACTTTTTGGTTGAATTAACAAACTTAATTTAATAACAAAATATTTTCTTAATTTCAGTACACAACACATCAGAAGAATAATTTTACAGGAGGATACAAATTTTAATACCTGGAATCAGCAATTTATATGAAATTTGTAAAGAGAGATATATTCACGTAAAGAGTGGAAAACCCCACCAGATAACCCAGTTGAACTTGGTTCAAGTGATTATTTGCAGACATTTTTGTTGAACTAAATAATGCAAAATTTTATAAATGAAACTTTAGCAGACTATGAGCTCCAAAGTGTTGTAATTAGAGGAATTTTAAATATGTGAGACTCATCAACATTAAACTGTGCATAAGTGAAATGTAACAATATTTTGTAAAAGAATCAGATTATTAACTCAGTTGTTTTCATGAAATTTTTTATCAAAGCAATATCACTTTTATATAATCAACATGATTAAAAAGATTCCATATGTTTTATTGTATACAATTAACAACCGAATATATCTTCCCTCTGGCCTGAAGTGTTTCCCTTTTATTTTGCATAAGTGTGATTAAAAGAAAGCTCCCTTTTGCTTTTGGCGAATTCAAGTTTTGTCATTCCAGAATTATTGGACTTTATTCATGGAGATTATTTATCACATAATTAAATAAAATCTAGTATGCTAAGATTAATTTCCTTCACTTTTGCCCTGTTGTTGAGATTGAGTGAAAGAATGTAATTATTTTATCCCTTTCAATTTGGGGGTGCCATCAGGACCAGCATTCAACACTGCATAACTACATCCTATCACAAGTTATGATACAGCCAACCATATAACAAAGCCCCTGCCAAATGAAAGGAGAAGAGGTGCAAATCATACAAAAAATATTTCATATGGCTAGTTACATTGTATCCTTTGAAATATTTCATTGATTTTTTTATGTGTAATTGTTTTTTTTAAAGTACATGTACATGAAGGTACTACAATTCCCATTCAGTTCGAAAACAGTTCCAATGCAAAAATAAGAAGTTTGGGTTTGATTGCCAATGAGAGAATTCTCCACCAGATACCAAATGACGAAAAGGTTAATGAGTATAGGTCTCTGACTTCCTTCAACAATGAGCAGAACCAATACTGCATAGTAAGCTACATGTATAAAAGGCCTAAATAACATGAATAGGATAAATGGAAATATATTTCGAAATAAAAGCATGTGCAGTAATGGATGCAAATAAATAGTTTATCGAGAAAAAAATCCTACTACCTCCAACGTTATGGCTTATGCGTTTTATTCATGAAATTGTCAACTAACTTTTACATACTTCATTCAAATAATTTACATTAAACAAGACATCAAAATAAAATAAAATAACAGGCCTAATGGGTATAAGGGCAAAAGGACCCAGGGTGAACAGGTACTAGTGCGAACGGACCAGGAATCCCCTCCCACCACCTACCTAGAATAGCAAATGGTCGTGCCCCCTCTGCATAGATATATTAATGGGCATACCCTAAGAATCTGCATATGGATTTTTTTAAAAGTAAAGTCATGAAGAGTTTAAAACTCACACTGTCAACCAGAAATTAAGAATTTCAAGCCCCTCAAAATGACACACGCCTTTGCCTGAATCTAAGACTACTAGTCTCAGCCTGAATTGAGATTTAAAAGAGACCTCCCCCCCTTTTTCAAAAAAGAAACAAAACACAACACATAACAATAACGAAAGGAAAATTATGAAAAATAGATAGCTTATCTATAAACCTATTCAGAGTAGATGTTTATAAAAGACTCATCGGCCGGTAACAATATTCATGAAATAAATATGGATACACGAAGTACGATGTCAAAGATATATATGATCATATATGTTTTATCATGTTTATGTAGGCCTATAAAGCTGTTATTTTACCAAGCTCGGCCTTTTTTGGTATAACGTTGATATGGATTCAACATATCGCATGACTTCCTTGACATTAAGATAAATAAAATTGCTACAAAGAAAAGAAGAATCCAACTTTAAATTACATTTTACGTTGACATTTTCGGCGCCGGAAATTGACAACTTTGATCTATGTACTGACACAACTTCGGATGAAGTTGATTCCGCCAATTCTGCTTCAAAAAATCACTAGCACTTAAAACTTATTGATGTCTTAAAATATATTTGTTATGTTTCAATAATTTTTAGTTGATAATTATTTTCGAGAGAAGAATAGCTATCGTGCACTTAAAAAACAAGGTTAAGGGAGGACCACGCCCCCATAGTGGGGACATACAAAATAAAGATGACCGTTCTCCATTTCTACTCGATAGAAATGCCTAATTTTTTCATAACATATACATTATGTACTAAAGATTATTATATGAAAGTATAAAAAAAATCGAGGCGGAGATTTTTTTTAGAAACATCTAATAATTATAGCAGACCAATAGACGTAATAGTAATATAGACGAAAATTGCGCCTTCTTCAATTTCGAAAAAAATCTATAATTTTACAATTTATGGACACATATTATTATTTTGAAAGGGGTTAAATATCTAAGGATTCACCTTTTCATGACAGTTGAATGAATATTTACTTTTAAAAACAGAAACTGTTCCAATTTCTAAATCTATCGACCTTGCAAGGAAAAACCTAAAAAAAATTGAGACTCCTACTTTAAAATGGGTACAAATTTTTGCCCTGGCTTGAACACCCCTGTTCTTTACGAATTTTGATGCCCAAAACTAGCGAGAATAGGATGTAAAACTTTTTAGAAAATCGAAGGATATGTATTTTTTTGTACCCATTTTTAATATCGCTATTTAATTCTACAGTGCAGTAGATCAAAATCCGAAATTCTATGTTCAGATATAAAAAAATAAGATTTCCTTTTATTTTAATGTTCGAAAATGATAATAATTTGTAAACTCATATAATTTTCTCTCATAGATGTGCTTACAATCAACAGTATTTACCGTCTGTACTTTGCCGTAAACGAATGAAAAAAATTTACAAAAGCGCGCCATTTTTCAGTTGACGTCGGCCGACGCAAAATAGTCCAATTTTTCGCGTAGGACTACTGAGCGCCGTCGAATGACATTTTTGCCAAACAGGCACATCCGGTTGTCCTACTGTAATACAGATATATTGTACGGCTGGTATACTCCACGTTTTTGCTAACAAGCAATCAAAATTTTCTCAGTTTCTCACATGTATTATTAATATACAAACCGACCACGTTTATTATCGATTTTTTTCCCTAATATCGGTTGAGAAGGGTGAAAATGTCATAGGAATAGAGAAACAAGAGGGTTCTCAAAAAGCCTGTATCGCTCACCTGGACCATGGCTCGTGAAAGATACTATCAAGATTTGCTCCGTAGTTTCAGAAGAAAAGATCTTTGAATGTGTTTCCATGGGGTCCATTGTTAAACTATGCTCCCCCTGGAGGCCATCTTGTATGGGGATGCGGGCCTGATGGACACCTTCTCAAGGAGGACCATCCAAAGACTATTGTGAATAGGTTTGGTTCCAATTGGTTTTCAAAGGAAAAAATCTTTGAATGTGTTCCCATAGGGTCCAATGTTAAACTATGATCCATAACCAGAATACAAAGTGATTTAAAAGCCTTATAAGAGCTTACCTGTAACAAACCAAGTGCATTTAAGCTATTTCTAAGGTCTTGGATTACTGGCCTGGGTGTGGAACTTTCAAACAATTCCTCTAACTGTTCAACACTAAGCAGCTTGGGGAGTGGTCCATTTTGAAGAAAAGATAATGCTAAAAAAGCAATTCTTTATAAATTCTATTACTAATGAATGGGTTTCAGTAATGTCATTTATGTTTGAACTTACAGCAGTACAGTTTAGAAAATGTCTTAAATTGTGCCTATTGCATTCAATAATATAAATTGGATTTAAAATCTTTTCAGTGCAAAATGATAAGACTTTTTTCTTGAAATTAAAAAAATTCAATGCTAGTATGATGAACTAATCAGATGTAATAGAAGTCTCCCATCAACTTAAATGATGAAGTCATTATATCACATTTCAAGAGCAGTTTCACTTTCAATTTTGAATTTCTAATTAAGTGAAAAATAAAACGAATAAATAATGAATACGGTAAATAATAATTATAAATGCTTCAAAATTTTCATTTATTGTAATGATCAGCTTGATGCTATATTATTTACAATAAGAGGCTTTCAGGAGTCTTAACTGGTCATCTTAAATTTATTATAAAACTTGAACTTTGCACATAAATTAAGGCCCGGCCAGCCCTCATCCTGAGGTGCAGCACCCTATAGTTCTCTTTTTGTCCCTGTGTTCAGATCCGCCTGTCTATCCATCAACAAGCCTTCTGAATGCAAAATCTCAAAAACTTAAACCATATTATTCTTAAATTTGGCACACTTATTAAGCATTATATTAAGATGTGAATATTACATTTTATTAAAAGGAGTAGGTCCAGTAAGTTTCACTTTTGGTCCAAAAATTGAACTACATTGAAATAAAGATTTGCGACAATTTTCATAGACTTAAATGTCTATTACATTGGATTTGATTAGTTTAAAGTAAAAATTTTAACCAATTTTGTCGTTTAAGGCTCTCAAATTAGGCTACACTATAGAAAATCAGTAAAAAATGTCGAAAAACTTCAGTACTTTACTCAACTTTAGTACAGGACGCATGTGCAGAGTATTGACAAAACCTGTTCTGGTTATTTAAATGTAATCATTTTACTAAACAATTACTAACTTAAAGTAAACTTTCATCGATTTTTAAAAGATGTATAACTTATGGGGATAAAATTGGGTCTTACAGGACCTGCTCAGGAGTCTAAATTTACATTCAATTACAAGTAATATAATTACCAAATATTTTTCCAATTACAGTATAGTCTGGAGACCATTCTCGTAGTGGTGAAAAGTACTTTTCTTTTATTTCCCTTAATATCAAGGCAAAAAACTCTTTTCTTGGACCTCCCAAATCAACAGCAATCTGAAATATATAATATTATGTCAGATGTGGTGGATCTTAATAAAACTTGGTTATTGATTGGTAATGTGATTTATGGCTACATGGAGATGGCAATCAAGTTTCAAAATTTTTGCAAGTGATCAATAATATTCGATATGCAATTGCATAAGTACACCACTATCCCATACTTACTGTATGTCTATGGCTGCCAAGTGACTCTGAATTTTAGCAATAGCATGCTGCAAGTTTCGGCAAATCTGTATTTAGCATTACTGCATATGCTAGATCAATGGTATTTAGTATGCAGTTGCATAAATAAAAATAAGATGAAAACGCTTATTGTTATTTCTGTACTTATTCTGACTTGGTTTTTACTTTTAAAATTTGTAGCATGCAAGGAAAGTATTAATTTTTATAAATGTACTACTTCCTGGAATGTAAAAAAAATCATTTGTACCGGTTCTAGGGACCCGTAGAAATTGTATGCTACCGTCCCCCTACCGATTCCTGTATCAATTTTGACAAATCA